TCTTTCTAGTTTATTTTTATTAAAATTAAAACTAAAAAAATTAAATTTTACTATAACTCACAACTCTTTATCTCCATAACCTATGCTTCTAATAGTCTCAATAACTCCAATCCCTTTCATATTCATAACCTCCAAAAATTCAATATGTAAGTTATGATAACTCATCTCATCTTTTTAATCTTCCCCTTCATTTCTCTCATTTTCATAACTCATACTAACTTAACTTCTACTTTCAATAATATCCATAACTCCCATACTTTTCATATTCATAATCCCCAAATATTTAATTTAAAAATTAAAATACCTTATGGTATTCATCTATTTTTTCCTATATAAATTCATAACTTTGTTTCATGAGACCCCTACCCAAGACTACCCTTTCTATTCTTTATCTGAAATACTAATGTTAACATATTTACTGTAACATTCGATTCATGTTTTAGTTTGGCTTGAGAAAGAAGGCTCTTGAATAATGATCGATATTGCGGGAGGGGGTGTCGACAAGAACACGTAAAATTATACGCTAATTTTGCATTTCTATTTCCTTCTATTTTCTTAAGATTAAGGTCTCAAGTTGTATCTTTTTCTTCTCTATTTACTTTCTCATGTGTTCTCTTTCACTTTATTTTCTATGAACTTTTGTTTGTCGCAAGTTTGTATTTTCGTTTAGACTCAAATTAATTACTTATGAGTGTTTGAAGTCCGTTAACTACTAACCAATAACAACTCATTGTGTAAAAGGGATAAATTTTTAACGTTCAAATACGCCCTTCATTGGATATTTTGACAACACTTCTTATTTCTTTTAGCGAGTAAAAAATGTTAGAGCTAAAAGTCACAGAACAGTCGCAAGTTCTTCTTTGCCGAGCCATTGGCATGTGTTGTTTCTTGTAAAATAGAAATTATTTTCTATTTCATTTCTACTTGTGATTTTTATAAAGTAAGTAGTTATTTTATTCGTATGATTGGAACATGTATTATATGTACGACAAAATAAAAAAATTATTTGGTTTACTTTATAACTTTTGATTCTTTTGAAGTATTGTGACAATTATCTTTCTTTTTGAAAATTATGTTTTGATTTCTTCCTTGAATTGCCTATTATTTTTAAACAAAAAAAACTTTTTTATTTTGCTGAGAGGATACAAATAATTGAGCAAGTATTCTGAAGTGAAGTATTCTTTTCTCCTTGGAATGGATAATATGAGAGGGAAACTAATGAATAGAAAAGAAAAGACAAAGATGAAGGCTAAAAATGGCATAACAAGAAGGAATAGAAAAAAGAATACGCTGCAATTTCTACTTATTTCTTTTTTTGTTTGTTTTATTTTCTTTTCGTTATTATTTTCTTTACTTTTATTTCATATTTCTGTTATTTGAATATGAGAAATTTTAGCAAAGTCGATGTTTTACTATCTAACGAAAAAATTATCTATTTACATACCTCTAACATATAATTGTACTTAAAAAGTCATGTAACAACCTCTCACTTTCTCCTCATTTATTATATATATGTGCGAATTTTTTTTCTTAAAAGTTATTTCTCTTTTATTTTCTTTTAAAAAGAAAATCAGGAAACAATGCAGTAACCTAAAATCTAATTCTAATTAAAATGCTAAGTATATGATTTATCAATATGTAAAATTATCTTTATATCCATATTAATTTAAAAAATTATCTCTCTCATCCGTTATATGTCGTTATTTTTCTTTCTTTTTTTTATTTAGTGATATTTCTTATAACCGCGCGAAGCGCGGAAAATTTCACTAGTTTAGATAGAAGTGCTAAAATAGAAAATACGCCTTTGTTTGTATTTGATAAAAAAAAATGCTGAGCAATACTTTTTCTGTTAAGATACTTAGAAATTTTCTTAAAGCTTATGACTAGAAAAGAGTTGATTATTGTAAGACTTTTACTTCTGAATTATTCAAAATTAATTCTAAATTGAGCTAAAAAAATATTCTAGTTGGAGCAACCGAGCAACAGCAACTTGAATCGATATTATTGTCAATTCACGTGAATCTAGCCTGTGTGCTCGCTCACATTGATGGTTTCAAGACCGGAAAAAGGGAAGAATCGCGGTAGACTGACAGCCAGTATAAACTTAGCAATTCATGATAAATTCTCATAATATCGATATTGTTGCTGTTCATGTGAATCTGGAAATTGATTTTTATGTGGTGCTATAGTTACGCATTTCTTGTAGAAATGACATCATGTAGCTACTCTAAAGGTAAAATTGCACGGGGCGCCCTATTTGATTGCCCCCATTTAACCTATACCCATAATTCTAAAATTATTTAATCTATACCCTAATTTTTACAATTTCAGGCGTCTCCTTCTTCCTGCGACAAAAACTCCAAATATTTTTCACCATTCCTACAAACTTTCATCTTTGCTCTCAGCTGTGAACTGTTCTCCGTTCTACTCATCACTTATAAGCAGCGTTTGATTCTTTAGCAAAGAAAATACGATAAGTCAAACGGTTCAGAAGGAAAATGGGACCTAAAAATTGCAAAGTATGCGATGAATAGGAGTATTGCTTTTCAACTTTCCTGATAATTAGCAACTGGATCTTAATGACAACTTGTCATTATTGTTTTAGAACTTCAGCTCTAAGAATGCTGAAGTTCAGCAAATATAAACAAAAACTTCAGCTCCTAGAAAGCTGAAGTTCAGCAAATACAAAATAAACTTCAGCCCTGAAGTTCATCACAAACATAACAAAGCTTCAGCTAAAACATGCTGAAGTTCAGCAAATATAGAACAAAACTTCAGCTAAAACACGTTGAAGTTCAGCAAATAGAC